CCTTGTATGAATTTCTTCCCATATCTGGGCTTCCATGCTATTGTGACGAAAATAATATTCTAAATCAGCAGTTCTGCAGCAGAACATGTCTTAGTAAAAAACAAAACAAAACAAAACAAAAAAGTTTACATACATATCGAGTTAGGAAACATTGACTTAGATAATCTCTGATTATCACTTCAGTTTTTAAAGTTTTGTGACATTTTAAAAGCAAAGTTTTTTTATTCTGTGTTCTTTTTTGTGAAGTTTTTTACATGTAAAGACATTTTTTTTAAAGAAAAAAATGTGATTCTTTTTTACACAACTAGTATCTTCATTTTTTCCGTATTCTATTCTAGTTTTTCTATATATTTAATGTTACATGATTGACATATCATTACGCAGTATTTATTGTTTGTCCCTGCTCCATTTCCTCCCAGGCGGATCACTCCTAGTCTTTCTTCCTTCTTTTCCAAGGTGAGATGCAATACCTGCAGTTGTCTCTCTCCAGAACTCTAGGCTCTTACACATTCATCAGCAGATCCCCAGCTGTGCCCGCTTCTCACCCAGAGTGGTTTAGCAGTTCAGTTTCAAATGATGCAAATATGGTGACTTGTGTCAATACACAATTAGTGTCTAAAATCTCCACTGGACCTGCCATGTCTCCAGTCTATGCTTTATCTCGGGACATCTCCCTCACCCATTCCCATGATGAACTATTCCAAACTAACTCTCCTTAAGACCCATTCTCAGCCACTCTTCTCAGTTTCTACAGGCAGCCTGGTGTTCATGAAGCAAGATCTTCTGCTGCCTGCCTTCTGACTTACCTGTATCGATTGTCATTCTCATGTACTTTGTTCCAGTTACAGGAGCAAAGCGGCCACCATGCTGTGGAGGACCACTCTCCTTGTGTTCCTGGCTGTACTGCTGCTAAGGCCCTAACTGCACCCGCCTCTCCTGTGTCTTCAGTGTGCTTATCTACTGCCTCTTCATCCTTAGCTTATGCATTTCTGTATTGTACCTATCTTAAATTCAGTAAATCAAATCAATCTTTCCTTGATCCTCCTTAAACCCTTTCCAGTAAACGTGGAAACCTGGAAAAATGAAAATAGCTACTGGTTTTAATGCTGTAGATATTTGATGTGGCCTTTGTGTTGAAAGCTTTATCCATTGGTTTCTGTGTCACTTCTCTCTGAAATCCTTTATACCCTTCAACATTTCTCTCCCATTCTCTTTGTAGTTTCCTTCTCTTCTTTAGAATGTAGATTTATGTCTTTAGTCGAGTCCTCTTTTAACTTTTTATTGTCTTGATTTCACATGTGACATATATATTGATAACATATAAAATCTATCTTTCATTCTTGGTAATCCAGCTGCCAACGACATTTCCACTGTATGTCCCAGCCACAGGTACTTCTAACAATATATTTAAAACTCACAAATATTCCTTTTTGGAAATACTTCTCCTCCTTTATCCTTCAGTTCTTTTGATGGCATAACCATTCACAATATCACCAAAGCTAGAAATACATATATCACTCTTGAGGGCTCTTCTCTCACATGTATCGAATCACCAAAATCTCCTAATTTTGATTCTTCCTTCTCCCCTCCTGTTATCACTCTCTTGGTTCAGGCTCCTACTCTTATGTGGAGCATTACATCTTGATAATCCCTAACTAGTTTTGTCTTTCAAAGCCATCTCAAATGCAGGTTCATCTGTCATTCCCTGCCTAAGCCGTGTTTGATAGTCATGGCCCTCTGTGATCTAGTCTTTGCCTAGTCATTAATTACATTGTTCCCCACTGTTCACCACAGACTTTGTGCAAACATCACAGGTTATACTTCTGCAGATATGCTGTGCTTGTTCTTAATCTCTGTATTGTCGTGCAGTACCTCGAATCCCTTACCCTAAAATGCAAAACCTGCCACACTTCTGTGTCTTCGGAACTTTTCACTCATCCTTTAAGACTCCCTGGAGTTACCCATTCCCTGTTGTATTCTCCTTTCTCATCTTTATGTGTAAAATCCTTAGAGCAGTGCCCTTTGTAAGATAAGTGCTATCTATATACATGTTGGCTATGAAGTCATTACTACATTGAATTTTGATTTCCTCCAACAGTGGCAGAACCTAGCAGTGACTGAATAATGGCTTTATAGTATTCTATCAAGTTGCTGCATTGTATTTCAATTGCTCTCTTCTAGGACAATTATAAATCTGTAAACTTTTAGAAAATACCTTGTTGTAGGTTTTCTAATACTTAGGATCATTTCTTTGGCATAGATTTCCTGGGAGTGGGATAACTGAATCAAAGATTGAAAGTATTTTTATGACTTTTACTGTTAACAGCCATACATTTGTTTAGGAAGATCAACTATGATGCCTGATAGTGTAAGATTTTTTTTCTGAAATCTTGTTAATCACACTGAGTATTTCTCTCCCAAATTTAATTCCTATAAAATAATACTTTAATACTTTAATTTATATTTCTCCAACAAATCAAATAGATCATTTCTCCAATTATATGTATGTTTGTGAAAGCTGGCTGTCGTTTGGGGCCTGGAAATAATGATCTTATATGTTTGAACAGGCTCTTACTATATTTGAGATGTAAATCTGTTGTCAGGTTTGTTTAGGTTTTCACCAGCTTTCAACTTTAATGTTAATTGTATAGATGCTTTAAAATTGTATAATTAAATATATTTGTCATTTCTTAATAGCATCATTTGCCACATAGCTTAAAAAATGTATCCTTCATGATCTGCAGTCTATCTTTTTTTGGTCTTGATTAACAAATGTTTAAAATTTATTAACTTTAAATTCAACTGGAAATAATTTTTATATAGTAGTCTTTCCCAACTGCATTATACATAACAGCATTACAAAAATTGTTTGTGATATTTATTCAATATGTTAAGCCTTTGTAAAATGTCTATTTCTGATCTTCTGTTAAAGAGACAGCACTTTTTTTTTTGTTCCCAACATGTCTGAAGGAGTTGGCATACTTTGCTCAGTAACAACACATTATAATTATTTGCTTATATTTTTCTGTCTGGGAAGATGATATATCATTCACATATATATTCTAATTTCCTTGCTTGCACTACTTCCTCAGTATATATTTCTGGGTAGTTGAATGGTAGTAAACAAAATGTGCTAGCTATAGACTAATGATACTTTACACTTAGAAATATAACTGGGGGCCGGCCGAGTGGTGTGTTGGTTAGGTGTTGGCTTGGGAAGCCAGCTCTGATCAGTAGGGCCCCGGTTTGGATCACACATGAGGGTCAGTGACGCTGTGCCCTCTACAGCTAAGATGGTGAACAACAGTTCGACCTGGAGCTGGGCTGCCATGAGTCGCCGGCGACGGCGTANGAGGGCAGTGTCACTGGCCCTCATATGTGGGATCCAAACCGGGGCCCTCTGGCATCCCAAGCGAGTTCTTAACCATCGCGCCAATCGGCCGGCCCTGATGTCTCCCATTTTAGCACTCTTGTTTCAGTGCAGGGCATTTCCATCTCCTTCAGTGTAGACATGTCTGAGGAAAATTGTGATGGCATTGCTCCTTGAAGGTTATCGACTCAGGAGGTGTCCCAAGGCAGCTGGGTACCATCTGAACAAACAAAGTGCTAAACCACAGTTGTATTGTCTTGGTCAGGGGCACAGTCCCTCAGCACCATCCCATGCATTTCCTTCACTGGTTCATCTTTCTTAAGGTTGTCTATGAACCACTGAACATGCCATTTCTTACCTGGTTGCTCCTAAATTAGTTTGGCAAGGGGTAGGACTTAATACTGTCCTGTCATTTTCTTTACTGTGTTTAAGGAGCAAAGCTTAGTTTTTTCAACTTCTTTTTATTGAGGTGTAGCATTCATCCAGTAAACTGCATAAAGTGTATCAAACATAAGTATACAGCTTGAACTTTGCATATGTATGTACCCAAGTAACCTCCATGCAGTCAAGACAGAACATTTCAGCATCCTTGTGGGTCCCTTAATACTCCTTCCCAGTCAGTAACCTCTTGCCCCTGAGTCAACACTGTTCTTCTAATTTCTAGCCCCGTAAGTTAGCTTTTCCTGTTCTCAGACTTAATGTAAATAGTCAGTGCATATACTCAGTTGTCTAGTATTTTTAATCAAATGAGTTTTCTTAGTTGAGATAGTCTTAAAATTCTTTAGGAAACGTTTCATACATCTTTTCCCACTCTAAAACTTTTAATGGATTTATGTTTTACCCACTCTTACAGTGTGTTATTTTTCACCAATTATGTAGTGCATTATTTATTTCCACAAATTATTCTTGCTCTTTTTTTCTTTTTCCACATTTCCTTCTATAAGTGCATAGAGATGAAAAGATTTCTAAAATGTTTTATCCTGTTTCTTCTTTACCATGCTAGCATTTGTTCTGGGGTGAATTCAGGTTGAACTGAATATCTTATTAATTCCTGGTTTCCTTCTCTTCTTTCTGACAGCACGATGGAAGTGGTTCATTGCATGATATCCAGCTCTCATTGCCATCTAGCCCAGAACCAGAAGATGGTGATCAGATATACAAGGTATGGCTAGGCGGTCATGCTGAACTTTTCAGAATTCTTTTCTATCACCAAAATTATAAAGCAGCAACAATTAAAACATGTAATAATAAATGTATTAATGCCTTTAGCTCTGCTGGCTGTCTTGAGTTTTAACAGGTTTGCTTTTTGATAGCTTATTAAGTTAAAAATGATATCCCTGTGGGGCTTTTAATTTGAATTTCTTTTATCAGTTGGACAATCATTTGTCGCTGTATTACTACTGGCACAGGATTCTTTTTTAAAATCTCTTTTTACATTTTTTAAATTCTCTTTTTATAATTATAATAATTTTAAAAATATGACTACCAATAAAAATTAAAGTGGTTAATGTAGGTACTTCTTATATATCGTATCACAGATCACAGCATTGAAGAAATAGACTGAAAATGAGATTAATTTGTTTATCTGTTTCATGTTTTAAAATATAATTATAGAATGCAGATACATTTTAGTGAGTGTTTAAAAGTATACTTTTTTTTTTTAAGATTTTATTGGTGAATCGGGGAGGGGAACAGAGAAGTTGCTGTCCTTTTGTTCTTCAGTCTAGTTGTGGAGGACGTCGCTTCACTGGCCCATGTTGGTATTGTGATCATTGTGCTCTTCCCAGCTGAGGCAGATCGGTCGCCGACCACTGGACAGCTGCTCATGGCGGCTCACGGTAGCTCACGCTGGCTGTTGATCACTCACGGTAGCTTATGGCAGCCCACTGCAGCCCCACTGCAGCCTACGCCGTTGCCAGCGACTCACGGCAGCCCAGCTCCAGGTCGAGCTGTTGTTCACCATCTTAGCTGTAAAGGGCGCAGTGTCACTGGCCCATGTGGGATCCGAAACGGCAGCCCTGCTGCTCAGAGCTTGCGCTCCCAAGCCAACTCTTAACTAACTGAGCCACTCGGCCGGCCCTGAAAGTATACTTTTTATCATTTTCAACTTTGGGTTTATTTTTAGTTGAAGAAAGCTTTTTTTCTTTTGTAACTATTTCTGAAGCATATATTCATTTCTTAATGCAAGTATTCTTGATTTATTTAATATTTCCAAGTAAAATTATTGTTTGCATTTACATTCTGTTTTCAGAGTATGCTAGTCAGTGTTTGCTAGTCATCTGCAGTAACAACCAACCTCAAAATATTGGTGATTTATAACAGGAAGTTTATTTCTCATTATTTGTCAGTATGTTACATACCGGATGTAGATTAGTTGGGAGTCTACTTCATATGTCTTCTTTATTCTGGGATCCAAGCTGAAGGATCAGCCCCTATCCTGGGACATACTGTATTTTTTTACCGTGTATAATGCGCTCCCGAGTATAATGCACACCCATGTTTTTGACCCAAACTTTCAGGGAAAAAAATCTTTCATTTTAATTTTTTAATTTAAAATTTTACTTGTTTACATTTATGTACTTGTTTTTTTGTATTATAAAGGAATTTTAGCATTTATTTTTTAACATGTTATGGTACAAGAAATTTAATGTAACAGATAATTACAAAACACAAAAACAGATACAAGGTACAAGAAATTTTGTGTACCAGTAACAAATTTACAATATTTACACATCGAAGGGCAAGAACTCTTTGTTGTTGATGCAAGTTCATCGTTAGTTCAACAAAACCGATTATTGTATTCAAGAGTATTATTTTACGTATGGTTATCGTTATTGATTTCTAGAGTTGCACTTTTAACTCATAAGCATAAATAAAAGAATTAAAAACATTTATATAGATACGGAATTAGTACTACCCATCTATAATGTGCATCCTTATTTTTCCCTCACAAATTTGGGGGGAAAAGTGCACATTATACATGGCAAAATATGGTAGTTCGTTTGTACTTGAGGGAAAAGAGCATTGGCAGGACAACTTGTATAATAGATTCTGCTTGGATGTAGCATATGCTGCTTATAAAATAAGTCAAGTGGCCAATCCTGCTATTAGGGGTCAGAGAAGAATAATTTTCTCACAGAATGTAGAGTGACTTAGTGGGAACAAGATTGTATGTAAAACAATTAAAATCAAAAGAATATAGGATAGGACTTCCAGTAAGATGGCAGAATAGACAGACACTGTGCTGACTGCCTCCCAGGGTCACAACAAAATTACAAATAATTTATAAGATATTCAACCTCGGAAGTTCCCTGAACATTAGATGAGCAGTACCTCTAAACGAAGGACTTAAAGAGGAGGCCACATTGAATCTGGTAGGAGGGGCGGAGACGAGAGAGGGCGAACCCCATGAGGGACACCTCAGCGGTGGGGAGGCTTCTCCTGTTGGGGAGGAGATCATCCGGCCCCACACCGCGCTCACCAGCCCAGAGTTACTTTGCCAGGAAGAGGAGTTCTACAATAGCTGNGCTGGGGAATTGGGGAAAGGGGAACAGACAAGTTGCTGGCCGCTCACACTGGCTGCTGGCTACACACGGTAGCCCATGGCAACCCACTGCCACAGGGGCTGCAGCCTACACCATCGCCGGCGATTCACAGCAGCCCAGCTCCAGGTTGAGCTATTGTTCAGCATCTTAGCTGTGGAGGGCAGTGTTACTGGTCCTCATATGTGGAATCCGAACCGGGGCCCTCTGGCGTCCCAAGCCAGTTCTTAACCATCGTGCCACTCGGCCAGCCCTGATTTTCTTTAATAGCATTTGTTTTCTCTAGCTTATTTTATTGTAAGAGTACAGTATATAATACATATGACATACAAAATAATGTGTTAATTGTTTATCAATGTTGTTATTAAGGCTTCTGGTCAACAGTGGGCTATTAGTATTTAAGTTTTTAGGGAGTCAAAAGTTATACACAGGACTGACTGAGTGATGCGTTGGTTAAGAGTTGGCTTGGGGGCCAACCGAGTGGCACCTTGGTTAAGAGTTGCCTTGGGACACCAGCTCTGAGCAGAGCAGGGCCCTGGTTCAGATCCCACATTAGGGCCAGTGATGCTGCGTCCTATAAAGCTAAGATGGTGAACAACAACTCGACCTGGAGCTGAGCTTCCGTGTGTCACCAGCAATGGAGTAGGCTATAGTGAAGCTGCAGTGGGCTTCCGTAAGCTACAGTGAGTGGCTGGCAGCCTGCGTGAGCAACTGGCAGCCAGCGTGAGCTGCCAAGAGCCACTGTGAGCTGCCGTCCAGTGGCCAACGACTGATCTGCCTCACCCGGGAAGAGTGCAATGATAATACCAACATGAGCCAGTGAAGCGACGTCCTCCACAACTAGACTGAAGAACAAAAGGACAGCAACTTGTCTGTTCCCGTTCCCCAATTCCCTAATAAAATCTTTTAAAAAAATAATAAAAAGTAATACGCAGATTTTCAGTTGTGCAGGGGATTGGTGCACCTAAACCCCTCATTGTTCAAGGGTCAATTATATATTGAATTTTATTTCAGTGACTGTCCCATTTCTTAGGAATGGGAAATAGCATTGGTACTACAGAGATTTTTTGGTTCTAATTAGATTTTATTTTGTATATGGAAATTGGAATGATCTAGTTGCAATTAATATAAATTTTGAATATTGGTAAATATTTCTGAAGTAGAAACTTATAATTTTTAATTTGATACAATAATCAGCAATTTGTTACATAGGTTTCTCTACAAGAAAGTATATTTGTCTCCTTTGGGGTTGTTGAACAAATAATATGGTTGTATTCCAACTTCACATTAAGGAGAAATTCTCATGATCAGTCTTTTCGTTCTTTTTAAATATATATATTTATTTGAGAGACCAAAGCTTACAGAGTAGGTATATCACTTTGTGTTGTATAAATGCCTGAATAAGTATGCTTTGAGTGGAATGATTATATAGAGAATTTATTTGTGAACCGAGATGCTTAGATGGATCTTATCAAGGGCAGAGATCATTCAGAATAGTCCAGTCCATTGAAGTCAACACATCATTAAAGAAGCTTAAAAGCACTGGACATGTGAAGAGACAATCTTAACTTGTGGGTTGGTGATAGTTAACATCCAGTGGAGTCTCATCAAAAATGAATTTAAGACACTGTTGCAGGGACTATAGTACCATAATAGTTTAGAGAAATACTTAAAACTTTACAGTTGTATTCTTTATATACTACATATTGCAGTATATATTCTACATCTATTTACATAGTACTGTATGTATGTATATGCATAAAATCATAGGTAATATGTTTTATGGATAATATAAGAGATTGCCAAAGGTAATTTTGACTGTTCAAAATTTTAGCCTTTCTGGCTGACTCTAGAACCCAATCTCTGAATAAAATGGGAGACTACCTAATAGACCTTGATGTTTGCCCTGTTTTGTTGGGTTCCTTTTTAGCCCCTAAGAGAGACCCTAATCGCTTTGGATATATATGGATGTATGAAGAATTACACCAGTGTAAAAATTTGTGTTTTTGTTCAGGCAACTCGGTGTAACAGCCACCAAAAATCTAAAGAGGAAAAATGCACATATGCCGATAAATATACCCAAACACCTTGGAGAAGAATTCCTGTGAGTAGCATATGCCCTTAACCCCTTTTGTCATTTACTGTTTTGATGTTTTGTTCCACTCTTTTTACTCGAATAATTTTGAAATCTGTCATGGCTGGGTTTTGGTTTTTGTTTTTTGTTTTCTTAAGTAAGTTGTTTTTTCTTGTCTCTTAGGTGTTTATGTGCTTTCTAAAGCTCCCTTTATATGTCTTAAATAAATGAATGTGCACTTAATAGCTTTTCCATTCTGCACACTATAACCCATTTTGAATACCTAGTCTCCTTGTATGTGTTTGTGTTTATGGGAGTATTATTTCCCCATGCCCTAAAAGAAACAGAAGCCCAAAATGCAGTCTCCCCTCTTTAGCAGCATAGTACTCTTTGAAAATATATGATGCAGTATATTCTTTTTTTTGTTGAAACTCTTCAAATATATTCTATTATAATTACTCAAATAAATGCTAAGGTTGTTAGGAAGTATAAATACATTAAGATATAGACAGTAAAGGTTTGTTTTAGGCATAGTTAGGGAATGCTTTATTCTAAACAGTAGAAAGTAACCATGCAGTCAGTGCTTATTTGTTATTTTTCAAAAATGTTACATCTCAAACTATATTTAGTGCTAAAATATACTGACCATAATTTAATCTTGAGTTTTTCTGAACTCAATTCAGGATGTGCCTGAGCCAGAGAATCATCGTATGGCTATCAGTTATCATTGTCCTATTGTATAGTGCCAAGTAATAGGTATGGCTTGTTAAGAGAAAGCCTACTAAGCTAGCCTTGGCTCCTCTTTCGCCTTGTTTTAGCAGTGGAATCCTAGTAACACAAATGAACAGGGAGCTATAATGGTCAATGTAGTCAACAATCCAGTTTTTAAAACTTAGGTATAGGAGGTATAGGTCTCTACATTTTATAAAACACTTATTTTTATGTAATAAGTAATTTGTGTGTGCTCTATGTAAATATGATGCTAATTAATTTATTCAACAAGTTTGGTTAAGCCTTTCTCATCTCAGTTCTTAGGCTTTTGAAGTAAAAGTGGAAAATTGGGGAAGGAAATACACAGACAAATACAGATTACTCCATTAACAAATACTTATTAAAGGAACTGGTGATGTGATATAGTTGAAGTGTAGTAAGTTCTATAAAATTTAAAAGATTGGGAAAGTCAAGTTGGAAGAATCAATGCGCTTGATGACAATGATGATTGTGTCATAGAAAGCAAAAGATAACAGTACATAGAGGTGATGTGATATTTCTTTCAAGTCAAAGGATGTGGAAATTTATCTGTTTGTAAGCAATTGCAAAATGAAAGACTATACATACCTTTCTTCTAGATGGAGGTTAGGGCTTTCCAGGTTTCTCCAGTTTCTTCATGGGGATCTTTGTATCTTCTGACAGGTTACTAAGTAGATTGATGATTTCATTAAGTGTGAGAAGTTCCATTTTGCCATCCTTCTGGGAGTCTTTATACCATATCTGACTCTCTCAATTTCACTGTTCTGTAAACTGGCTATTAATAAGCCTGTTTGCCAGATAAAAGTAAATAGTGCAAAACACCCCAAGATGTTACTGAATATGTTCCTGAGTTTGTTTTATTATGATCTTGGGTGAAATGAAGGTCAGATTTTCAGCCTAGCACTCCAGACAAACGCAGACTTTAGGTTTTCTTGTTATCTTTTACTATAGGAATCAGCTGACTTATAGATAAGGTAATAAAAGCCAGGGAGATTAAATGGCATATTAAAATTTCCATAAATAATCAGTGGTAAAATATTGGGTTTTGGGAAAAGTCATGATGTATTTTTTCCGTTTTTCATTGCAAAAATGCGTCATGCCTTTTCCAACAACCCAGTAGTACTATTAACTTCAGACTGCTGATGGTTAGTCCAAGGTTCCTTCCCCCAAAATCACAATGAAAGCCTTGTAGGATTGAGAGAGGCTTTGCAGATTGAAGTGGGGGAAATATCCTTGGTAAAAGGAACAACAGGAATAAGGGCAAAGGTGGGAAGATACAGTTGGGCAATAGTAAGTACAAGGCTGGCCAGAACACAAATGTGTGCTTAGAGAAATAGTTGAAGTTAGTGTTAAAGTTCATTTGAAGGTAGAATTCAAAATTTTATCCAGAAATTATTGGAAAAGTAGTTTTACTAAGTCATATTTATTTAAAGAAATGGTTACATATATTTATTTAATTAAATGTTAATTATTAAATATTAACATTAAATATCGTGTTTATTCTCTGATTTTTATGTTGTTCAGACTCTGTTGGATTCATTTAAAATAAATTACTTTGGAAACCATTTATGATAATACCAAAGAGCTTCTTTTTTTAAAAAGTCACACTTGACTCTACATTTTTTTTTTTAGCAGGAACCCAACATATTTACACAAGACATTGGGGATGGGGGTGGGGAGGTGCAGTGAGGCTCTTCTTTGACATCTAGCTTGTTAGGTGGTGACTTGGGGAATCAAAACATGTTATAGTAAAAAATCCCAAAGTTAAGTGTAGGTACATTTTTTTTGATCTGGCTAATAAGCCTTTGGGAAGATTGAAAGTTACAGTCTGAGTACTTGTTCTTCACCATTTCCTATAGTAACTTGGGACATTTAAATGCCCCTCTTGACACTCTCTCAGTTAGTTGAGAATTGTAGCATCTACCTCAGAGATTCGTGAGACATAGGTAAGCATTTCCTCTGAACATTTCCTGGAATTGGAGGAAGAAATCCACCTGTGATGGAAGGCAGAGAAGGATGGAGGAGGAGAGGGATACTACCTATAATATTTTTTGGCAGCCATTTAGGACATGGAAAGAAATACGAAAAAAAAAAAATAGACATCTCAGTCAGAACCTGCCAGAAGAATGGTAGGTCACCAACAGCAGCAGAGCAATAAAAATAGGAATGTGTTGAGCCCAACATAAGTTTTCATAAATTTATCAGAAAGAATTTTAGTATAATATTACCTCATTGCTGCAGATACATTTTTTTAAAGTAGAGAACCAACAGGAAATAAGAGGATGAAATAGGTAGCAGAACATGGGAAAGTAAGGAAAGCAGATAATCACTTATTCATTCACAAGTAATTGTGTGCCTATTCTGTCCAGGCACTGTGCTAATCTGAGAGTGTAAACATGAAAAAGATACATATGGTTGCAGCCCTCAGATACTTCCAGAAACCTCAAGTGTGCCTAAATGGTATCAGTCTCACTTTTTTCCTGCATGTGAAGAAGCTGAGACTAAGAAGTGACTTGTGAAAGTACTTAGGCAACTTGTATACAGCAGTCTTACGCGAGAAGCAGAAGCCAGGTTTTCTAACATCTTAGTTGCCTCCCTTTGGAGTGGCTGCAGGAGGTAAGGTGAGCAGGAGGAACAGAGGGAAGAACAGGGTCACGGCTTTGGGAAGTCAGGACAGGCTTGATCTCCGTGAGAGTTCATGATAAGGACTTAGTTCCCTGAGAGAGAACCAGCTGCCCAGGTTTACGTTGTGTGGTAGAGGTTTTAGCAGTACGTTGTGATAATCTATTGAACATAATTATAGTATTTAAAATTCTGGGGAGAAAAGTATTTATGATTGAAAAGAAAAATTCTCCACAAACAAGTTAGGTTCTATCCAGTGTTAATATGAAGAAATCTATAGACATAGTAGATTGTGGAAGTAATTTTCTCAATAGAAAGAATAATAAAATTTAACACCTCTTAGGGAAATGAGAAAATAATAGAATGCTAAGGAGACTTTATTGAATGACATAAAGCCAAGTATATGCTTAAAAAACACAGTAAAGTGGCTTTCTTTTTCCTTGTCCCTTTTTATTGAGAGGTAACAATATTCATTCTATAGAAAATACAAAATAAAGAAGCAAGACAATTTAAGAAAATTTTAAATTACTCAAATCATACTAACCACTGACAACCATTGTTAACATTTCATATATGGTCTTCCAGACTTTTTTTTGTGATGTCTGTATATGTTTGTACAGGTCTGACTTACCATATCTGTCTAGGTGGAATTGTGTTGTATATGCTATATTAACCTGCTTATGGTGGTGGTAGCTTATATATTTATTTATTTATTTATTTTGCTAAATAAACGTTGAAGGGAGTGCATTACTTTTAATAAAAAACGAAAATGAATTCCCTTAGTGGATGGTTTTTTGTAAGGTTCTTGAAATACATTACCACATTTTTTTTTCTGAAAGATTTATACAATTTATACTACCACCAGCTAACTTATGATCAGAAAATTGCTTGGTGGCCATGGTGTTAGGTTGTATGATTCGAGTGTTTGATGTTATCAGGTTATAAGAGCCTACGATATTTACCTCTACGAAAGATAAATACCTGCTGCCCTGACGATAGGTAACATCTCAGTCAGAATGGCTCCCCCTTGATCCCTACACCATCACTTCAGGTGGTACTGGGAGGTGACGCCCAACTATTTTGGTTATGACTATTTGTCTGTTTTGTGATGTTTTCTTACCTTACAAATTCTGACCTTCCTCCTCCTGGCCCAGGAATCATTTTATTAGGCTCTTTTTAGCATATATCCAAGATCAGCTTGCATATATTCATTATATGTTTTGATCTTTTGAATTCTGGGAGTGTGTTTCTGCCTGTAGTAACATTTGGCTTTCATGCTATAGGTACTTTTGGTGTTGGAACTTTACTGATAAAGATCAAAACTGTTATGGGTTTAGTTTCGGTGTTATTTGTGAAATTAAACACTAGCAAGGAAAAAATAATTAACCACCTGCTGGGTGCTGTTATTTTGGGTATGACAAAGGCATGTGCTCCTCCAAGGAGCTGCTAAGACATACTGTAGGGACATTACAGGACACTTCTAAGTGTAGTTTGTGTTTCAGAGCTGTGTTTCCAGTATTGAGAACCAATATGAAGCGCCTGTTACCTTTTAGAATAAAGGGTATGCAAGACTGTTCTCTGCTTGGGAAAGGAATAACATAGTGTAGTAAAGATTTGAATAGTTATTTTGCACATAAAGTAAACTCTAAATTTTTGTG